CCGCTTTGGGGGCCTAGGTTCCAGTGACCAGCATCAGACCGGCTTGGAAACCGTATGGCCGACACCACCTTCCAACGCGGCGGCGCTGACGTTGCGAGAAGTTTGTACCCACCGCTGCAGCATGCACTTTGTCCGACCATTGGCCAACACAAGTTGCTGAACGTCGAAGAACGAACTCACCGCCGGTAACTAGTAATCACGTGGATCGGCTACTATATGAGAAAGCTCGACGACACCAACCAACCTCCCATGGCAATGGAGCAGTGGGCTCCTCTCCGATAAGTACTGTCTTTAGACCAGCGCGGGTGCAGGCACAACGCAATGTCTAAGCGCCTTCGATGTGCCTGACTAAATTGCTCCTGGATCACGCTTCCAGATCTTTACCGGTCCAGCAATACGCGAGCGCCTAAAGGTTTTGGGCGGCAGAAATGTATTGGCAAGTTGCGGGTTCCCCCTTTGCAAAGAAGAAGGCTCCCTCTATCCATACTTTGAGTGACACCCCTGTTGGTTGGTGTACACGAAGCAATGGCATGGACCCGGGAACCAGGTTGTTCAGTTCCTAAACTTCGCTCGTTTGACGTGTGCCTGCGCAAGCTTGAGGTACCGGGGAGACCTCCGAGAGCTTATCAACTTTGTTTCAGTTCGGAAGCTTCATGAATTGCAACGGGGTGTAGTACTAATACAAAGTGTGTGAAGCTACGGGTGTGCAGACACCCGAGGAGAAGGGTATTGGGGAGAATGACGGCATTCTCCCTGACCAGTACAGAAATTACAAGCTACACGCTAGATACATGTGTCGAGGATGGGGTGGTACATGCGCTAGTGACATTATATGGGATACATGCAGTGGTCGTAAAAGGCGGTCTGCGGTTTTGGTCTTGCAGCCAGCAAAGGTGGCGATGATGAAAACAACAAGGTCTGTGGAGGACGAGAATAAAGAAAAAAAATAAGTCAAGTGTAAATGTTGATACTATGCTACTTGTTGGTTCGGGGGGTTGTTTGCTGACAAGAGTCGGAAAGAGATGGGGAACGGCTGACTAGAGCTGCGGAATGCAGTTGTGGCCCCAGATAGGCAAAGGCTGATGAATGCGCTGGACAGATTTGTTTGCAAGACGGTGGGCGGGGTCTAAACGAAGAGGTTCGAGGTGGAGGCGCAAAGAGACGGTTGGTTTAGTCCTGTCGACTGAATTCTGCCTGTGTCAGGTCAAGAACAAAGGTCATTTTGAAGTTCTTCGGTGGCTCTATCAGCTTGATAGGCTTGGAGTTTGAAGAGGTGTTTGAGGATTTGGAAGGCTGGAGCGCATGGGAAATGGCGGGGAACGGTCTCAGAGCGCGTGAGGGCGCGAAGCCAGAATTCCTGCGTGGCGGGGGCTGCGGACGTGGAACCTGTGAATGGCTGAGAGAGTCTCCGCCAAAGCTCTCTGCGAGTGGAGAGGAGACAAGCGGGCGGGAAACAGCGAAGGGGGACGTGATGGTCGCTACTGCAGGGTTAGTGAGCGCAGGCAGCAACAGCGACGGGAGGGACATACGCATTGTGGAGGACGGTGGCGGGGATGAGGCTACGATGAAGAGGAGAAAGAGCAAAGGCGTATTTATACTGGAGAATTGGTTGGGGACTACAAGTACAACCGTCACCAGTTTGCTTTGGGGTTTGGGGTCACGTCCGCATTCGGATTCCGAATCCCACTGGCTCCCCGATCTGATTGGTTCATCACACTCGCCCGTTCCGTCCACTGTCTCACCTTTTTAGACACAACCACTGTGCCAGCCATGTACCCTGGTTTAGCGTGATTCTTGTCCCCGAGCCTAATCTTGTGACTATTCTTCAGTCAGCTACCCGAGCGATGCCCTTGAAACAGTCCTCTGCCTGCTCTTTTATTGGTCCTCGCCCAACGCCACAAGCATCTCACCAACTCCAGTCTCAGAGCTCTACAAATCATTTGGGGATGACCTCCATGGGTATCCATCTATTAATAGTCCCTGTTCTCCTGGTTCAACCCTACCCCAGCTTTCTGGCGTCCTACAAAATCTACTTGCACGAATCTCCCTGGTCACATACCCCAAAATTGAGAGTCCTAGATCCCCGCGTTTCTCCTCGTCTGGCCCTTAGCCCTTCGCTCGTTCCTAGCACGCACGACGGATGACACGAGGTTATCCTTTTGCATCTCCAGCTACACAACCCACGCCACCCAACTGTAACTTTGGGGCTAAGAAGAGCTAGGAACGCTTCTCGAGGACTTCCCTAACCGGCTTCATTTGGAAGCCCGTAAACCTTGCTTGGTACCGATAATTTCCCATTCTCCAACAGTGGGGCTGATATACGGGATTGGCCCGTCCTTGCAGGCACTCCACCAGTTTCAGGACAACTCTGCGCCGATCATACAATCTGCCGCTGGTAACAAGGGCTCGGATATCCGCACAGCTCTGGGCCTTCGAGCTCTCGGACTCCGGAATGGGATCATACAAGGTTCAGGTCCACTCAACGACGAACGTTATTTCGATCAACGCCACCATATCCTCCACTCAACATCCGAGCAGAAACTTCCAGCAAACCGAAGAGGAATTTGGTCACGTTCGTGGCACGTCTTGGCCATTCCCCAGCATGATGGTGGTGGGGGTATGGTACTGCGGCCCACTCTCATTGCGTTCTCGCTGACAGTCTTGGGAATGTGGAATAGCAAGAACCAGTAATTTCGTGGCTAGATTATCCCTCTGTGTATGTGCCCAGTCCGGATGTGGCATGTTATACTCGAGCCAATGGCACGTTTCTGTTGGCCTTTCCCCAGGGCGTCGATACGGCGGGATATAACGCCTTGAGATTACAGCTCATCAGCCGCAGGTTTTCGACCCGTGATCCTTTACGATGTCGCTCCCCCCCACGATCTAGCAACTTGACGACTGCGCCAACGCCGAAAACGGACCCCAACAGTTCAGCGCTTAAGCGTACTAATCACCGCACTATACGTTACTCCTAACAGATCGAAATAGCGCTGCGGTTTGTTTTTAGCTCACTGTATGTAAGTATGCAGTGCATACGTGTACCCCCTACGTGGTCGGAACTCCGGTAGCCATGACGGTGACGAACAGTTGCGGCACGGATGGACCAAATATACTTGACTGATGGTACACTATATATTCGGTGTTTGGACTGATACAAGAAGGGATGGGGAGGTACTAACAGAGGGCTAAATGTCGTTGTCCTGTAAAATGTACATGTGTGCCGACCGGGCGATGATCAAAGAATGGTGGTGAAATGAAACAAAGTAAGGGAAAGGCCTAAGGAGATAATGCAAATGCAGAGACTAAGGATGAAGGTAACCGGAAGAACGTTCTAGAAAGACAGCGTTGAAAGGGAATTGCGAGTGATGTGGAAGGGACAAAATGTTGATGGACTCGGGTGACAGACAGGAGGATGGATTGATTCTGAAATATGCCAAAAATGGAATGGGAGGGGGAAGAAATTTACATGTACATTGATTTAAGGATCCGTAATGAGAAGGATATGCAATAAAGAGAAAGAGGTGGTACAGACGAATCCATGTTGCCACCCGTTGCCTTGAATGCCAGTGCAACGAGGAAGGTATTTGATGGCAACAGGAAGACCTGACGTCATTTAGACGCTGGGACAGGCCAACGAGAATGGGAGAAAAGGAGATGTGTTTGGTAGGCCTATAGAGTCTGGGGGGGTATTACACTCCAAGGAAAATGCTGCAGGATTGAGGGGAAATAAGGATCACTTATCGAATAGGTGACTCCGATTCTTGATAAAGATAGAACTCGGCAGCGAAATGCGATGAACGATGCGGTCAGTTTGGGGTTCCTATAACACCGAAGCTTGAGGAGACGTGTATTTGGGGTCCAGAGAGTTAGATGGAAAAGTCCAGTTGTGGGCAGCCTGCTGGCAGCGCAAGGGCAACGCCCTCCGCGGGCTTCGACTCCGTCCGACGCCGATAAATACTATTGGTACATGGCACAGATTGCCTTCTTGATCTGTTTTCCGAAACGAGAGACAAGAAACGAATGTCAAGCGCGGGATGAGTCCAGATGATGTTGCCATAGTTGCGACCTTTGTTCGCCGTGGTGAGGTGGGGGAGGTTGGTATAGTCAGGGGTCACGCTGGAATGGAACGATGATGGGACCGTTGCGACGGTGCCGCTGCATCATTGCACGTCCACCAGCAGATTGCGTTCGAGGATATACTTCCCTTCCTTATACTTCTGGGAAGGCTCCTGCGCTAGTTCCTGTGAGAGTGGTGGTTCAGTCAGCGATATACAACGCAAGCAAGAGTGCGGCCCTCACGTATTTCCAGCCAAGTGTAACGCCACACTTGACACAGTAGATGTCCCTCACCGTGTGCTGTCCAGTTGTCATGGCGCGACTGCACTCCTCGCCTTCCACAACGTTCACACTGTGTGATGTCAGAAAGCACTGGAGCACACGAGGTGGCATGCACGTACACTGATTCGAAGAGATACGCCCGCCCGTGTTGACCATTGAAAGCCTGCGTATACCACCACCGTCAGCAACCGACCACCGGAGCTTGGGATCAGACCAGCTGGACGTACTCTGGACATCATGTTGCTCAACGATGCGAGGTGCGTCTTGCAGCTGGAGCACCCGTATATCCTACCTCCTGCGTTGAGATATCGGCGAAATGTCATGCCCATTGTTAATACGAGAGGTTAATTTGGCTGAAAGAGAACAGGGAGGAGAGTGCACAAGCTGAATGGATGTAGGTGGCAACCAAGGACGAATGAGAATGTTCGCAGACCAGAACACTTTACAATTGGAATTGTTAAAGGACAAGGGTAGGATAACGGAGCTTAATTAATATGGTCACCTCTTGTGTGCACTGATGGCAGATCGCGCCAAGTTGTACTCAGGTCTGGGGGTTTCGTTACACATAAACAGATCTTTCATTGGAATTAGGTGCGTGCAATAGCTGGCTGTATTCAAGGATTCTAAGGAACAAAATAGCAGTACAGCAGGACAAAAATATATGCCCCCTGCAAGGCTCGAACTTGCGACCTCAGGATTTCGTAATCAAATTACGTCACACGTAAGTATGAGACCTGCGCTCTAGCCAACTGAGCCAAGAAGGCGATGGTGAGGACCGGGTACGTCACTACCTGAGGCGGGCGGCCGAGTATGCCGTGGCACCATCAATGGGCCGCCCTGGTCCCTTGTGCAGTGACTCTCATCTCGCATTAGGTTTCCTCGTCGTACCAGCCTTGCCCGCCTACATTCTACCCGTCATCCACCATATATCGCTCGTAGCATTCTCGACGCGTTGTTCTCGACTCATCTGCTTCTGCAATCATTTCTCGCCATTCATGGTCGCGACTCTCTCTCGAAAACGACAAGCCGAGGCACCGCTACTTCCCATGCGTGCTGACAAGCAGCGGAAAACAGGGCCAGGCTTTTTCTCTACTATATTCAACCTCATCGTTGGAACAAGCAGTGGTATGCTACCTCGACCGCCCCGTTGCCAGCTGCTTGCGAGCCTGACATCCGAAACGTAGATACGCCTTCAAATTCCCAAAAGTCCCCTAAGAAGACATCGGGACGGCCCAGTGACCGCCGACATTCATTCCATGGGGACAAGTCACCGATACAAGCAGAGAAATCGCTACGTCGAGCCTCTGGCATGCCCTCAACGACACAGCGGAGCGCCGCCGCCTTCGCCACTCACCAACAAGATGAAAACGAGGAATCCCAAGCATCCAAGTCCATCCCATTTCATCCCCAACCCCAGCTGATACGGCCCACAAGTCTCGCAGATCGGCTAGCGACTGAGCCGACGCACATCTACACCCCTGTGGGCACTCCTCTACCACCGCCAGCAGACGATGAAGCCCCCTCAGAACCCACGAAACCGCCCCCACCGAAAACTAATTCCGGAACAATGAGTTACAACGCATCACCTCGCGGTGAAATCATAGATCTGACGGGACACGATTCGGAGGCAAATGGTTCGCAATCGCCACAGTTGCCCTCAACTTCCACATCTCTCACCGCTCAGACTACCGTCGAAGCGGTCGATGAACCTCCACAACGCGATAATCTGCATCCAAGAACCAGAAAGATATCAGGCAAAACGATCTTGCGGACCTCATTGCAACACGCTCCCGAGATGAGGGACAGGAGAATTGGTCATAATGCGACGAGATGGATCCCTATCGACCGGGTTCACGCAGAAAAGGAAAAGCAATCCTCCTCTGGATCAAGCGATAGGAAGTCGTCCTACTCTTCCTCGCAGGCGTCTTCTTCCAAATCTGCCAACCCTTCGACGTCTTCCCTAGATACCCTTGCTTCACGGGTTCGCAATACTGGCCTTACCTCCCAAGGCTCATCCAAATTGTCTCTCCAATCCCAGAATTTCACCTTTGGCCAGTCTGCACAACCGTATGTTGCGTTTCCCAAGAATGAAGTCACACCTAATGACCTTCTCCTAGACCGCGTCAAGTCAACGGGAACGGAGGTGGAAGCAAACGACGGGTTTCGTCACCCAAGCCTAATCGACCGGTAAATAAAAAATATGTAGAGAAGCCACACATCCTCAATTCAAAAGTATGTTTTGCGCTTTCTAGCGGGGGTCGGTTAACTGAAAATCTCTCATCTAGCACAAGGCGGAACTGGCCGCCAGAACAGCCGCCGTTCGGCAATCGTTGAAGGAGGAGCTTTCACACAAGTTTAAAGCGCGAGGGTTTTACCTGGGAACAGAGAAAGAGTTTGATGGTAAGACTCCCTCTTCCACTTAGGCATACCTTTCGGGCTGACCTCTCTTGAAGATTTGTTTGATTATGCATTTGAAACGAAGAAAGTTATGTCGGAGGAGTCTCAACCAAGGGGTACGGCCTTGCGCATAGATTTCTGGATTGACCTGACCCAGTATTCATTGGTTTAGGAATGTGGCCCGATTTTGCCGACATGAGGAAATCGTTGGCGGTCTACTTTGATAAGGTGGCTAAGACGCACAACGAGTAAGTGTGAAATCACCGCTTTCTTTTCTAAATATACTAATGGCCGACTATCAGACCAAAGGTTAATGAATGGGCTCCTACGCTCGAACACTTGAACAAGAAATTGCGTGATCGACGCGCAGCCATCGACCGGCAGCGGCAAGTCAAGCTCCCAGATTCGTTGCCGGATGAGGATGAACAAGCAGTCGAGCGCCTGTTTAAGACGCCTGGTGTGATTTCAAAATGCGCCCGCGAGCAAGTCACCAACTCGGACATCCGCCGTCTGCTGCCTCGGAGCTGGCTCAACGATGAGATTATCAACTTCTATGGGGCGATGCTGAACGAACGATCCGATAAACGCGACGCCAAGGATCCTAGGAGCAAGCTCTTGAACGCCTACTACCTCAGCACCTTCTTCTGGGCAAAGTTGGTGAAAGATGGGTACGAGAAGGGACGGTTGTCCAAGTGGACAAAAAAGGTTGGTTTGGATGCAACTTGACTAATGTGACCACACTGATTGTTTTGGGTAGGTCGATATCTTTTCAAAAGATGTGATCCTCATCCCAGTCAACCACCGAAACCAGCACTGGACGGCAGCTGCCATTAACTTCAAGGCGAAGCGATTTGAGTCGTACGACAGCTTGAACATGGCGGGGGAGGAAGTTTGCGAAGTGAGTGTCTTTTCACCCCTTTAGTTCCTTGGCCTAGCTTGACCGTGCGTGTCTTCAGCGTCTGCGAGAATACGTTGCGGCAGAACACCTTAACAAGAAGAAGAAACCGTTTGACTTTACTGGTTGGAAGTCTCACGTTGCTGAGGTATGTTCGTTCTGGCAAAGCAAGTCCCATCTAACAGGCCTTGCAGGATACTCCCCAGCAAGAAAACGGCTACGACTGCGGGGTGTTTACATGTCAAGCACTCGAGTCGTTGTCTCGTGGAGAAGACAAGTTCATCTTCTCACAAAAGGACATGATGTACCTTCGGAGACGCATGGTCTGGGAGATTGGCCATGCACAGCTGCGTCAAGACGCTTGACAGGCCTCGTGCCGTCCTGCTATTCAACCTAGCTTCAACATCTGTTCTTCTCTTGTGCATTGCGTGTTTGTACATTATGCCATATTTAGTTAGTCCTACTGCGTCGCGAATACCCTCACAAAGCATACTCTGCGGTCCCCAGAAATGCGTTGTATTCACTCCAATGAACATGGGTAAGAAAGTGTTGTCCGTGGTATGGATATCAAAGCCGAATGGATAGTTATGGCAGTACACTTGGGGAAGTCGGTGGTTTCATAGGCCGGGTCTATCAAGCTCACCGTCGAAACCACCAGACGACAATGAAGAACCAGAAGACGATGACGAAAAAAACGATATACCACAGCCATTTGCAACCGTGTCGTTCTGCCATATTGTTCATCCGTCGGAAGGTACCTGATAGGATGTCACCTGTTTCGGCGAATGCATCATTCTAGAGGAAGGGCGACAGTGAGTCAAACTCTGGGCCGATTTCTTGGGGTAGGTGGGGACGCACCATTTGGCTGAGCTGTACCGTTGACTCTCGTACTTCGTTGCCGATGCCAACCGTGAGCTAAGCGTCAGAAATTAGATTTCAAGTGCCATAGATCCGGTATGCACGAACGACTCACGTTCTTGAGCAGTTTGACCTTGTTGCTCAAGCTCTCCAGGGCTTCGTCGTTCTGCCCCTCCAAATCATCGACAAAACGTTGCCCGTTAGGTTGGTACTGTGAGTTATTGTTGAGAGGCGAAGCGCGTCCGGAGGATGACGGTGTCGAGTGTCCTAGGAGCGTTGACCGGTCGCGTAGAGAATTGGGGGCTCGGATTCTAATTCGGTTTAGGCTAGTCAGCACATACCGCAGACTGTCGTTGTTCTTGGACGCAAAGGGCCTCGCTACGCACCGTTGTGACATTGTACAAGATGAATGAAAAGGAGAAATTAGGGTATTATCGTTATTAGCGCATTCGTCAGGACGGGCAGGATGGTGGCGTGGAGGTAAGGCTTGTGCAGCAGGTATGTGCTATTTAGCAACGCATGTTGACACGTCAACGGAGCGCGCGCAACGGCTAACGGAAACAATTCAAATTCTTCGACTCGGAATCTAAGAGGCTCGACCACAATTATCATTCCAAGATATCCGATTGCTATCAAACGATGGTGACATGGAGAATAAATGTAAGTGCCAATCAGGGGTCACATATGCATGTAACTATGTACTACCACTACTATGTATGTGCAGGGAACCATCACTGGAACCAGCCTTGATGAACAGGAACTACGAATATGTTAACAAATAATATACTAGGTTACACGAAAAAATGCAGGGGATGAGATGAATGCGATGGGATGGCGTTAACGAAGGTGATGTGAAAAGAATAAGACCCATGGAAGCGAAGAACCGTGTCCATTTGTGTTGGTTGTAAGGTAGTCGACTAATGATATAATGCGTACAGTTGTTGGATTCCGTGAAAGATCGTCAGCGCGTGCTTTGTGTTCAGTTTATGCTCATGCGGTTGAGTGTTCGGCTTGCTACTCTTTGGTGTGCGGGTACCTTGGTCTGCTGAGCCTTCCGGACGACTACGGACAGGTTAGCACGGTTATGGGAAAAATGAAAGGGACCACTCACAAGCATCCTTGAGCCCGCGGCCGAAATTTCTCAAGATTATCACCGAGAATACAAAAGTAGCGATAAGCAGGGCGATAGCAATAACAGCTGGAAGTGATTCATTTATGAATAGGAGAAATGAAAGGGTTTGTTGAACAAACTCACAGAAAACTGTAAGTGACTTCCACACGAGTTTGAACTGATCGCCTCCTGGATTCAGCAACACTCTGATCAGCTACAACGACTGTCAGTACATGTATGCCTCGTTGCATGAAAAGAATGAGCACCTTGTAGATAAAGTATATCATCGCTCCAACACAACCACACATGAAGGTTGCCATCATCCATTTGTTCTCATACCTGGCTGCAAGGTGACCCTCGACCAGGAGGACAATGGAAAGGGGTAGGGCTGCACATGTCACATAGTACTCCCAATCGTTCTCTTGCAGAACTAGCCAGATGAACTGGACGCAAAAGCCCACCCAGAAGAAGACGTCGAACTTGACCAGACATTCGTAAACCTG